ACGCACGCACGCACGCACGCACGCACGCACGCACGCACGCACGCACGCACGCACTCACACACACACACTCACAAACAAACACACACACACACACACACGAACGATCTATATAAATATCTTCATTTCAGGTATGGACGATGTGTCCATGTCTACGCCCCAGTTCAGTTTATGTAAATTTGTCTGATTTAGGACGTGTCAACTATACAATGGACAACATCAAATTTCAAAACACAGTAAGTTTATCACTATTCTACCATGACGACAAGAGCGCTTTGACAACGCTCTTGGGGCGCGTCACTACACATAGATACAAAACATTAAAACAAAATATACCTAAAAAGTGTCACAGGTTGTAAAAATGTGTGAAATATTACTAAAGTTCAAGGGGGCCACAGATGGCCCAGTCGTCTAAGGAGCAGCGATTTGCTGTGCAGAGGTGCGTCCCTTGGTCACGACCGAAACCTATGATCGTGTGTTTCGCCCCGATTATGTTTCTATGTGTGTTAGCACCATACCCGTGGGCTTCACTGAGGTGGTAAACGTCTGAGACCTGCATCGCTTCGGGAATACAGTTGGTGAGAGCCTGAAATCATGCAGAGTGTTCAGCAATGTTTGTTTGTTGGGATCGATGATATGCATCTGTTCAGCACTGAAACATGAGGGCACGGATATGGTACTGACACAACAATACTCAACATCAGAGTGAATCTGAAATTCGAACGCTCGGTGATAGGATCATCACACACTTAAGGAATAGCAATTCAACGCACAATCAAAAGAGAAGCTTTGTCAAGAACAATATCACCAACATACACACGCCACATTTAACATCAATCGGAAGATAACATGTACCATCCTTTAAATTGTTATATGCGCTTATTTGGTAGCAAAGCTCACGTCCCTTGGCTCCAAAAGCACACAACTTTCTGATTGTGTTAAAAGTGAATTATAGATGCACACCCACCATTAGTCCATCTGGGAGTTGATCAAGTAAACACACCTGACAATGCATTTTTTAGTCTTTGCTTCGGAGCTTCAGTTTCTCATCTCTTATTTATACCAGTTTTTACATATGTCGCACAGGTGATAATATAGACAGTACAGAAACTGTGTGAGAATAGATTTAATTTCTGTTGAAAGACCACATGTATCAGGGTTACGGCAGATTGCCTTTGTTTTTGCACACAACGCTTCTACCCTATATCACAGGCTAGTGTAGTTTGTCAGATACTGTATTAAGTACACTGTGAAGCAATTAACGAAGATCAATACTCTCTCCTGACTACAAAGGTATTTGGCTTAGGGTGCTTAGTATCAATATAAATATTGTCTGTATATTGTCTGTATTGTCTGAATGAAATCGGTGGGTGTGAGTCATAGTCTTGGCAACTGATATGAACAAAAGAAATATCTACTAAAAAAAAGACCACAGTACGATTTTGACTATATCATAAGCATGTGTTTGTAAATCACTGTACTACTAGTAATGTACTGCTACTGCTACTACTACTACTACACCAAAGCATCATTCAGGGAGGGACTATTTTGATTTGCTGCCATGTTAAACTCACTAGGAGTCATTTGTGTTTAAGTTCTGATATGGTTTACAATATATTGACACTATACTCCAACAACCAAAACCAAACAAAGTCGCCCCCATCCCCCTAGTTAACTGCTGCGCTGGGTACATTTCTGGTGTGCCCCGCCGCGATATTGCTGGAATATTGCTAAAAGCGGCGTAAAACCTTACTCACTGTCTCACTAACTGCTGCACAACAGACAAATACATCTGTGCCAAAAAAAGCATTGCCTCGATAAAATAAAGAACGTCCACATTTATATTCATTTTCTAGTTAAATGGCCGATGAAGCCTGTATTTCCTCTTAAAACGTTTGCTAAGTATTGAGTATCCAAACACGCAAATATAAATCAAGATTGTGCTATGTTTCTGTATTGATTGCATTGGCATCATTCTGTTTGCCTTCTCATGAATCCCATGACATTACACATCTCCATCCAATGAAAAGAAGTTACAACATTTCCTAATTGCACATACTAAATCCTTCAGACAGGACTGTATTTGCAGATTGATGTACGACTACTTTACATTTGGAGTACATACACATATTAACAGCTAGAATGCGTCATCAATTGATTGACATCAGTGAACTTGAAGATTGAAGAGAAGACACGATCACACAGACACGCAGGCAAGACAGATGCGTTGTTTCGCTTAGCGATTCACAATCACACGCATATGTATATGAAGCATCGGATAACAAGATTTCTTCTCAGAACAAAATCATCTGTCAGACACGATCAACTATGAACTTAGTTCAAACGCCTAACATTCTGGAACTTGCATTCAAATTATCTTGCGTGTTAAATCAGTTACTGTACAATATAGACAGTTGTACGAATGTGACTTTCTACAGGAGGTCTGAGATGGATGATCTGGTGTTTGCCGGGAGTCTGATAGAAGAGATCAACCAGGTGGACAAGAGGGCTGAGTGTTTCTCCCAATGTCAATGGCGGGGGCTTTGTAACTTGGTCATGCACAACCCACTCACCAGGACGTGCAGACTGCACTCTGAAGCCTTTAATTCGAGCAGTGATGGCATCGATGAAATTGGAAGGCAGTTCTATGGAGCAATTAATCTGTAATTCCAATTAGTCCGTTGGTACTTCTCTAATTATACATGTCCATGTTTAGCTGTGTACATATTGACATGCTCAGGACGACACATATGTTGTGTCAGCGTATAGTCCATGTTTGGCTGCGTACATATTGACATGCTCAGGATGACACACATGTTGTGTCAGCGTAAAGTCCATGTTTAGCCGTGTACATATTGACATGCTCAGAGCTATACACATTTTGTGTCAGCGCATAGTCCTTGTTTAGCTGTGTACTTATTGACATGCTCATGGCGACACACACGTTGTGTCAGGTACTTGATTAGTCCTTTGGTCTGCTTTCAGGGTGGTTCAAGGTCTCATCACTAAAGCTGCTCTATAATCGATGGAACATTTTAAGCTCCATGTCTCATCTCAAGACCTGCAACATTGTCCATGAAACAGTGAAACTTCGACGTCTCATCATGAAGCCTTTCTTTACGACTTACAGAACGCTGATCCGTAGATGTCTCATCTCATAAGATGCTAAATAATCCATGAACTAGTAAAACCCTTGAAGTCTCATCAATAAACAATTGTTGTCTATTTGCTAATGAACAAAACCTTCGAAGTTTCACCATTAAACCTGCCTAATAATCAATGAATACTGCGCAATAGATGTCTGTTTCATAGCATTCGACACAATTATCGAAATGTTGCTTATGTATCAATGACGAAAACTATACGACAAAGCTTCAGATTCTCAGAGAATGGACTTGAAAATTTTAGAACTTGTGAATATATAGCTGAAGCATCATGTATCAACTTCAAAAACAGGACACAACTATTTCTTGTAAGCTCTAAGTTGGACTGTTCTGCAAGGTATACTATGTGTGTTACAATAAGCCAATCGTGTCAAAAAAATATATATTACACAAACGCCATGCTTGAGGGGTAAATGGGCGTCCAAACAACAGATAGAGGGCACGTAAACAAGGTACATCTCCTGAATCACTCACCTCGACAAATGTGCAGCATGAAAGGAGGGGAGGTGAAACGGGGTTTAACGTCGCCTCCAAGGTGCGTGTGTGGCTGCTTGAACTAGTATGCTGACTCCGAGCCGACCAGTCCTTGTTTTAGCCCCTTAATGCCGAGCGCCAGACAGAGTAACAACAAGTACCATCTTTTAACGTCTTTTTGTATGAAGCGGCCGGGGATCGAACCCCGAACCTTCCGCTCTTCGGGCGGACGCTCTACCACTAGACCACGGAGGCGGTCGCATTAGAAATGTGGGTGAGGGAGTGGGAGTTATGGGTGTTTTTTTTTGTTTTTTGTTGTTTTTATTGTTTTTGTTTTGTTTTCTTTTTGTGTTTTTTGTGTGTGTTTTTTTGGTATGACGTGGCCGGGAATTAAAGCTTGGGCCTTCCGCTCTCTTGTCGGACTCTCTATCACTAGACCACGGAAAGGAAACATAATTAATAATAATCCCTTTCTGGAAAATGAACACTGCTGATGTCATGCGGTGTAAAGCTTAGGAAGACGATTTCCCACTTTACATAAGTAACGCAGGAGCTCTACCACTAGACCACGGGGCCGCTAACAGGAAAGGAAATATAATTTATAATAATCCCTTTCTTTAAAATGAACACTGCTGATGTCATGTGGTGTAAAGCTTAAGAAGACGATTTCACACTTTGAAAAGGTAACAATTAGTATAAATTATATTTGTATTTATTGTCAATGATACCATTGTCACCGCAAGCTGCCAATGTGAAGTGCACAGGTCATTCGCCATATCCCTCAAATGACATCTCTTCTTTACCATTTCCACATAAAGATTCTGATAAACAAGTCCCTGCACTGGTGATCCAGAAAACATAAGACCGACACACAACACCCAAGTAAATACTCATGTCCAGTAACATTACCAGATATGCGTCACACATGAAGGCGGAATTTCCTTTATGAATTATTTGTTATTTACCAGACGTGTGTGTTTTCATTCGAGTAAAAAAAAATCAGGACACAAATAAAATTACATTTCAGTATTGATTGTATTGAATTCCTTCTGTCTGCCTTAATTAATTAATTAACGTGACGCAATGACATAGTATACCCAGTGACGTTAATCGTGTATCGATCGTGTGAGGCTTTGTTAAGTTAGTGTTCATGGAGAAAATACATTTCCCTTTACAAGGAAGCAAAAATTAATATTAATGGAATACACAGTTGAACACACCACTGTATTTGCCCTTGGAGACCCCGCTTGCTGAATGTGTCTTTCAGTGACTGGCAACAAATACTTGAGAGACACGATGAGCAAATAGGCACGCCCAAAAAAAGTGCCGATTGTGTTTTGTTTACTGAGTGACGGAGAACGCATACGCATGTGGATATGATGTGCTGGGTCACAAGCTTTGATTGAGGCGTAAGATTTTGCTCTGTGCGCCGTAATCACTATGAAAGTGTTTCATACGTCTAACCTCGCTTTATTTGGATTCAATTTGTCGTATGTCTTAACTCTATTAACGTACAACACGGACAGCTGCACTAATGCGACTTTCTACAGAAGATTGGAGATGGATGATCTGATGTTTGCCGGGAGTCTGATAGAAGAGATCAACCTAGTGGACATGAGGGCTGAGTGCTTCTCTCAGTGTCAGTGGCGGGTAACGTGTAACATGGTCTTGTACAACCCCCTTATTAGAAAGTGTAAATTGTACACTGAAGCCTTTGATTCGAGCAGTGATGACTCTGTTGAAACCGGATGGGAGTACTATGGAAGTGAGTATGAACGGGCACTTAGAGAATAACCGACGCGATATAATTAGTAACTGCTTGTGTGAAGGATGTAAGACCCATGTTATGATGCTCAGTCTTGTAGAATGCTTAGAAAAAAAGAGTTTGTTCAACAACTAAGACACAAAGGTCTGATTCTACAGGGTGATTCAAAATAGCCTACTGAACATGAATCTATGTAAATTCAAATTATAGGGTAGGTACAAAACTAAAAGCAGTCGAATGCCAGGTACGTATTTAAAATATTAGGTTTATTTTAGAAAGTTCGGCACATCAAAGTTCGACAGAACGGTGGATAACTGTATATCTGCATGTGGGATAGAGGCACGATTTGTAATAACTGTCACATAAGGCAAACACTTATGAAACACAGATTTCTTGTTGTAGAATGCCTTGTATTTAAAATGGCCGACATTTGTACTGTTTCAAAACAACTTACAATGTTGTCACTGGAAACGTTTGGCTTTAGGCCCAATATGAGAAAATGAATATATATACTTATAAATCACGCTTCATCATACAAAATGGAAACCTATCTCCATTCTTCTACAATGAAAGGGGATGTAGACAAGAAGACCCAATGTCCCCCTATCTATTGGTGCTCGTTGCAGAAATTTTGGGAATAATGATTAGTGATGATAATGCAATAAAACGTATAAAATTAAATTAAACATATTATGTGCTGAAGATACAGAAATATGTCCAGATGGGACTGGTATATCTATTATGTTAAGTACAAGTGGAAATATATTCGTGCATATTCTCTGTGTTAAGATTGCATGCTTGCAAAAGTTGGCGTAGGCTCTTTGCACCACCTACGTGGTCTTGTAGATAGAGCATCAGCCCGGAGAGCTGGTACAAGCAGATACATACACACACACACACGCACGCACGCACGCACGCACGCACGCACGCACGCACGCACTCGCACGCACTCGCACGCACTCGCACACACACACACACACACACGTGCATGCACGTCGTTATATAAGTGCAATAATCTTGGATGCGACGTTAAACCCCATTTCATTCACGTCACTTCACTTCACCCTTAACCACTGATGTCTGTGATGGCTGATATAAATATAATAATTCCTACTTCGTCCCCAGTTTCATGTGCCGACTTTACACTTGAATATGCACGTACAGATGTTAACGTCATCAACACTGACCCTAAAGATGTCTGCAACACCAACATCGTTGCCTCCGATGACAACACGTCATCCTGTTATACAGGTGCATCATGGAAAGTGGTACCAGTCAAGTGTGTGTCATGCTATATAGGCATGGCAAGGCAATCCATGGTAGGTTCACATTGATGTGTAAATTGAAGAATATTGACTATTACTGACACACATGATGTTCAATTTTTCTGTATGGGTAAATGAAAGAAGCTGTAAAACCCACCTTTAGCTCTGCTTATCTGTGTCGTGTTTACAATAATAATACGAAGTTTGTGAAAATGTAAGCGCAATGCACGAGTTAAGTTTGTAAACGAGTACTACAGCTTAAGTATAATTTGTACGTGTGATTATGCCCAAGGCGATTCCAGGTAGGGCAATGGGCCCACACCAGCCCACCCTTGTTGTAAGAATACAAACTGGATCGGGTTATCATGCTCGGTGACTTGGTTGATGGCCTGGTGTCATACCCCAATTGCTATCACTGGATTGTCTCGACCTGACTCGATTATTTATATACCACTGCATGTTACTGGAACATAAAACATACATACACGGCTGCTTTTGCTTTTACACATTGGACACAAGGGAGATGTCGCATAAGTTACAGTTTACTGGTAGTCTATACAAATTGTGACATGTCAATAGATACATTGTGTCACATTATAAAGATGCTATGTCCGAATGGACAGTTTTGATTTTAACCTAAATAGTACTTAAACTGTAAATGAGTTTACAGTTAATGGCGTACAAACATGTAAACATTTCGGTGGGGATTTTTGAAATATTTATTTGATGAACCCAAATGAATACATGTGTGTTCCTATTTGAATTTTCTTTAAAATGTCGTTTCCTTAAAGCAGATTCCATCCATGGATTATTCAGAAGATTTGAACTTTGACCTTGCTGCAGGGATGAAGCTGAGACTGGCATTGTCAGGAGACACGACTGAGTAGTAAGTAAACGTACAGTGAACTACGGTTATAACGAACTCAAATGGACCACTAATTCAAGTTAGCTATAACCCTAGTTCGTTATAAGCATACACATAAGATCTGAACAACAACTCGCGGGGATAAAAAATTAAGTTCGTCAGTTCGTTATAAACGTATTTTACTGTATTTACATATAACTTAGCAGAAAAGAACATACTGGCCTTTGATTTGTATTTCTGTATAACAATGTATCATCAATCTGGCTTTCAAAGGAGATTTTGTTAGGGTGGGATCAAGCTGTTCCTTAAACGTCTCGTTCAAATGACGTCACGTGTCCCATTGCAGTGGATATTACTGTCCAATCAGAGAAATAATATTATGTTAAGGGAACTCATTCCCATTCCCTCCGATCATGGGCAGGTATAAACTTAAACGGCATACCATGTATCATGTATCCTGTGTGTTATTGCAGCAACCAAATTGTGTTTGAAGCCCCTAACACGGACCGTGTGTACCTGTTGTCTTTGAGATGGAGCAGCAGCCCAACTCGAGCCGTCTTCAATGCACGGCAGGGAGGAGTCTATAGTAGAGAAGAAGAAGAGCTTGGTATTTCAGTCACTGACATAAGCAACTACGTCATTGAAATCCACATCAGTGAGTCTGATTTTATGGTGAGTTCACTGTCAGTTAATATGTGGCTCTGTATGTGACTTACATAACGTGAGTCACAAACAAACACAGCAATGGGCACCTGCCTCACCCGACACTAAAAACGGGTTCCGTTTTGTGTATAGAAAATAATTATTTTTGTCCTGCTCATAATGTCTCTTCAATGATACATTTTCGGTACACATTAAGCTGTAATGTGACCGTCTTCTTTCCAGACGTATGCTGACGGGATTCTGTTGATGACCAACCAGATGCGGCTCCCTGTCACTGGTGTCCGACGTGTCACTGTACGAGGTCTCACGGCACTACACAGTTTCCACATTGGCTATGTGCTGTGCTGATTTCCACTCATGACATTCCACAATTACCCTGCATCAAGATATGACTCTGTGTAGACATCGTTTCTGTATGTGAGGCCTTCAAACATGACCACACCGATTATGTTTCTAGGTTTGTCGGCACCACACCCGTGCCTGTGGGTTTCACCGAAGCGGTAAACGTCTGAGACCTGCATCACTAGTAGTACATCATGCTTTCCTCCCACGCTGACACGCCCTGATATGACTGGAATAAAGTTAAAAGCTGCGTTAAACCCAACTCAGTCACTCATTCAAAAATGACCAAACAATCATATTCGTAAGAAATCTCTGCCAAAAGCAGTGCCCAACATACGATTCCCTCTATAACATGGTATGTGTTTATGAATCGCTATAAAATAAAGATGATGTCAGATGCTCGCGAAATGGTAAGGCAATCCTGCTCCACTGGTATAGCTATCAAGCTAGCTTATGGGGAGGAGATGTTATTGACGTTACCTTATTGAAGTTAAATAATGAAAACTACATCAATGGAATACATTCAAGTATGTGAGTGAGTTTGGTTTTACACCGTTTTTAGCAACATTGCAGCAATATCACGGCGGGGAATACCACAAATGGGCTTCACACATTGTACTCATGTCGGGAATCGAACCCGGATCTCCGACGTGACGAGGGAACGCTTTAACCACTGGGCCACCCGATCGCCCCTTATAGATTAAAGAAAAAATAACACAATTATTTATCAGAACACTATTAACGAAATAATTACAGAACTGAACTTGTTGTTTGTGGTCTACATGTTGTTACTCAAATATCCTCTTACCAAGGTTCAAGTTTCTAATCGAATCGAATACCACCTAATTCAATGGGGACACAAACGTAAAAAAAGATTGTTATAGAAACCTTTGCAATATATTATTCTTGTGTAAATATTATCTCCGGAATTGGCAAATGATCTAATCTCCTGCTACCATTATCTCTGATACATGAAAATTGATCTCCCTTTGTTCAAAATTGTATCTGATATGGGGGAAAACGGTCCCTGCTAAAGACAAAAATGGGAAACAGCACCTCAGTTTCTCGGCAGAGGAGTGAGTGAGTGAGTTTTCTTTTACGCCGCTTTAGCAATATTCCAGCGAGCGAACGCTTTGACAACTAGGCAACCCCAGCACTCTTCTCGGCAGAGGAAGATGCTCATGATGTGATAGATGTTTGGTTGGAATGTATGCTTGACATTATGCCCAGACGTTACATTACTGCGACCCAATCTCATGGTCAGATATTCCATGACAAGCACAGTAACCAGTCTCTCATCTCTCATTCTGTCTGCAAATTACACATTTTTTCGCACTCGGCTGATCATTGTCGACTTTTCTAGACTCGCTGTTCTTTACCTATTTTATGGTGTAATATACTTTTGACTGTTTAGTGGATTTAATCATAATCCATACCTGACAGATATTCTTTGACAAGCACAGTAAGCGGTCTCTCATCTTGACACATTCTGTTTCAAAATGACACATTTTTGTGGTACTCGACTGACAGATGTCACCCTTTTCTAGACTTGCTGTATTTTATATAATATTTGGTGGAATAAACGTTTGACCGTTTAGCAGAATTTTTAATCTACTAGAAAATAAGAAAACAATTTAAACTGGTCAGATATTCTATGACAAGCACAGTAACCGGTCTCTCACCTTGACAAATTCTGTTTCAAGATGACACATTTTTGGCACTCAGCTGACAAATGTCGTCCTTTTCTAGACTTGCTGTATTTTATATAATATTTGGTTAAATAAACGTTTGACTGTTTAGGAGATTTTTTGTAGCTAATAGAAAATATGAAAACAATGCAAACTGGTCAGACATTTTTGTGGTACTCGACTGACAGATGTCACCCTTATCTAGACTTGATGAATTTAAAAGAATATTTGGTGCAATAAACATTTGACTGATCAGCGGAATTTTGCAGCTTGTAGGAAATGTGAAAACAATACAAACTGGTCAGATATTCTTTGACAAGCACAGTAACCGGTCTCACATCTTGACACTTTCTGTTTCTAAATGAGAAATATTTGGCACTAAGCTGATCATTGTCGACTTTTCTAGACTTCCAGTATTTTAGATAGTGTTTGGTGTAATATGCTTTTGACTGTGAGTGGATTTTTGTAGCTTGAATACAATAGGATAACAATCCAAGCCTATCAGATATTCTATGGCAAGCACAGTAACTGGTCTCTCACCTTAACACATACTGTCTCAAAATGACACATTTTCGGCACAAGCTGATCATTGTCGACTTTTCTAGACTTCCTGTATTTTACATAGTGTTTTGTGTAATATACTTTTGACTGTGAGTGGATTTTTGTAGCTTGAATACAATAGGATAACAATCCAAGCCTATCAGATATTCTATGGCAAGCACAGTAACCGGTCACTCATCTTGACACATTCTGTGTCAAAATGACTCATTTTCGCCAATCGGGCGACAGTTGTCGACTTTACTAGACTTGCTGTATTTTGTATCCAAATGACACATTTTCGGCACTCCACTGATCATTGTCGCCTTTTCTAGACTTGCTGTATTTTACATTGTATTTGGTGTAATATACTTTTGACTGTTTAGTGGAATTTTGTAGCTCGTAGACAATAGGAAAACAATCCAGACTGGTCAGATATTTTTTGACAAGCACAGTAACCGGTCTCTCATCTTGACACATACTGTCTCAAAATTACACATTTTTTTGGCACTAAGCTGACAAATGTCGACTTTTTCTAGATTTGCTGTATTTTAAAGATTATTTGGTGCAAAAAACGTTTGACAAACAATCCATTTGTCAGATTGTCTATGACAAGCACAGTAACTGGTCTCTCATCTTGACACATTCTGTATCCAAATGACACATTTTCGGCACTCCACTGATCATTGTCGACTTTTCTAGACTTGCTGTATTTTACATGGTATTTGGTGTAATATACTTTTGACTGTTTAGTGGAATTTTGTAGCTCGTAGACAATAGAAAAACAATCCATACTGGTCAGATATTCTATGACAAGCACAGAATCACCTTAACACATACTCTCTCAAAATGACACATTTTTGGTACTAAGCTGACAAATGTCGACTTTTCCTAGATTTGCTGTATTTTAAAGATTATTTGGTGCAAAAACCGTTTGACAAACAATCCATTTGTCAGATTTTCTATGACAAGCACAGTAACCGGTCACTCATCTTGACACATTCTGTGTCAAAATGACTCATTTTCGCCAATCGGGTGACAGTTGTCGACTTTACTAGACTTGCTGTATTTTATATAGTATTTGGTGGAATAATAGTTTGACTGTTTAGTGGAATTTTGTAGCTTATAGAAAACATGAAAACAATGCAAACTGGTCAGATATTCTTTGATAAGCACAGTAACCGGTCTCTCACCTTGACACATTCTGTATCCAAATGACACATTTTCGGCACTAAGCTGATCATTGTCGACTTTTCTAGACTTGCAGTATTTAATATAGTATTTGGTGTAATATGCTTTTGACTGTTTAGTGGAATTTTGTAGCTCGTAGACAATAGAAAAACAATCCATACTGGTCAGATATTCTATGACAAGCACAGAATCACCTTAACAAATGACACATTTTCGGCACTCCACTGATCATTGTCGACTTTTCTAGACTTGCAGTATTTAATATAGTATTTGGTGTAATATGCTTTTGACTGTTTAGTGGAATTTTGTAGCTCGTAGACAATAGAAAAACAATCCATACTGGTCAGATATTCTATGACAAGCACAGAATCACCTTAACACATACTCTCTCAAAATGACACATTTTTGGTACTAAGCTGACAAATGTCGACTTTTCCTAGATTTGCTGTATTTTAAAGATTATTTGGTGCAAAAAACGTTTGACAAACAATTCATTTGTCATATGTTCTATGACAAGCACAGTAACTGGTCTCTCATCTTGACACATTCTGTGTCAAAATGACTCATTTTCGCCAATCGACTGACAGTTGTCGACTTTACTAGACTTGCTGTATTTTATATATTATTTGGTGGAATAATAGTTTGACTGTTTAGTGGAATTTTGTAGCTTATAGAAAATATGAAAACAATGCAAACTGGTCAGATATTCTTTGATAAGCACAGTAACCGGTCTCTCACCTTAACACATTTTGTATCCAAATGACACATTTTCGGCACTCCACTGATCATTGTCGACTTTTCTAGACTTGCTGTATTTTACATGGTATTTGGTGTAATATACTTTTGACTGTTTAGTGGAATTTTGTAGCTCGTAGACAATAGAATAACAATCCAGACTGGTCAGATATTCTTTGACAAGCACAGTAACCGGTCTCTCATCTTGACACATACTGTCTCAAAATGACACATTTTTGGCACTAAGCTGACAAATGTCGCCTTTTCCTAGATTTGCTGTATTTTAAAGATTATTTGGTGCAAAAACCGTTTGACAAACAATCAATTTGTCAGATTTTCTATGACAAGCACAGTAACTGGTCTCTCATCTTGACACATTCTGTATCAAAATGACACATATTCGGCACTCCACTGATCATTGTCGCCTTTTCTAGACTTGCTGTATTTTATATAGTATTTGGTGTAATATACTTTTGACTGTTTAGTGGAATTTTGTAGCTCGTAGACAATAGAAAAACTGTCCAGACTGGTCAGATATTCTATGACAAGCACAGAATCACCTTAACACATACTGTCTCAAAATAACACATTTTTGGCACTAAGCTGACAAATGTCGCCTTTTCCTAGATTTGCTGTATTTTAAAGATTATTTGGTGCAAAAAACGTTTGACAAACAATTCATTTGTCAGATTTTCTATGACAAGCACAGTAACCGGTCACTCATCTTGACACATTCTGTGTCAAAATGACTCATTTTCGCCAATCGGGTGACAGTTGTCGACTTTACTAGACTTGCTGTATTTTATATATTATTACGTAGAATAATAGTTTGACTGTTTAGTGGAATTTTGTAGCTCGTAGACAATAGAAAAACAATCCATACTGGTCAGATATTCTATGACAAGCACAGAATCACCTTAACACATACTCTCTCAAAATGACACATTTTTGGTACTAAGCTGACAAATGTCGACTTTTCCTAGATTTGCTGTATTTTAAAGATTATTTGGTG